ACAATGGCCGCAACCAAATTCTTCTGGTCTTCACTCGATCATTTGAGGTGTCAAAGAATTCTAATCATAATGGTTTTTCTGGAGATTATATGAGTGCTTCTTATCAAGCAGATTACTCCTAATTTAAGTACATATTGTTTGACACAATTCTGAGAAACAACTCTTGTGTACAAATAATTTATATGAAGATCTTAAGAAATAACACAATCTGAGCAACAACTCTTGTGTTTTACATATTTCTACAAAGATGAATCTAATCTAAAATAAGTGCAGCATCTTATAGTCTTCTTGTCTTCATCTTCTTTGTTGAGCAGGTTGTGAGCAACAACTCCTTGCTTCTTCATAATTTTGTCAAGATGTATATGATTGATGATTTGAATTACATCTTGAAGAATTCTTCATCTTTATCTTCTTTCTTCATTAAGTAAGACACGAGCAACAACTTCTTGCTTTTTCATGATTCTTCTAAGATGTATGTGATTGGTAATTTGAATAACATCTTGTAGAATTCTTTATATTGTTATAGTGGATGATAGCTTTGTTTTGGTTATGTTCTAATAATGATAGATTTTATTTTGAACATCAACAACTTATGACTTGTAACTTACAGCTTTTAGCACCCAGCCAAGCAGCTTATGGCAAGCTTATCAATGTTTAGCTTGTTCGGCATCATGTGTTGAGCAACCAGCTAACCAATCAACCAACACACTAACCAACCAACTATTTTAAACATACGATTCTTTTCTTATATAGCCAAGCAAAATAGAGTCATTGGCTGTTTGAAAAATAGTCGTTACAAATAGTACTATGACGTCCTTATCTCTTCCACACTTCAAGTTAGTGGAGAGGTAGTGGCATAAAGCTTTTCGTACTGTGTACTATTATATTGTGTTACCATTATATTCTTTCCTTCTTCACTTCATAGGCTTATGCGAGCATGAGATTAGAAGCGGGAACATAACATAAGATCTTCCGAACTTCAAGTCTTCAGAGTCTTCAGAACTTGGTCGTGAGAACCCGTTGTAGTGAAACTTTAGATCAGAAGAGATTCAAGTCTTAAGAACTGCGTCTTTAGAGTCTTCAACAATTGGTCTTCAGAACCTGTTTATAGATAACCTTGGACCTTTAGAACTTCAAGACTTTGGAATCTTCAGACCTTCTGTCTTAGAATCTTTAGCACTTGGTTCTTTAAGGATCCTTATCTTCAGAACCTTGTTACTAAAAGCACAAAGTCTTCAGCATCTGGACTTTAGTTAGAAACATTGTCTTCATATCTTTTAACTTTGTCTTCTTTGGAACAAGTTGTATTTTAGAAACTAAGTTTTTAGCATATGAAGTTCATTAGAAACTTTGTCTTCATATCTTCTAACTTTGTTTCTTGAAACACACTGTCTTTTAGAAACGCGAGTCTTCAGCATTTGGATGTAAGTAACAATTTCTGTCTTCAAATCTTTTGACTGGTTTCTTTAGGAAAATACCAGGGTTTACACTTCGAAGCCTTCTGGAGTGTCTTGCTACTGTTCAACAGAACTTGTGTAGCATAGAAGCGGAATCAATTATCTTCTAATATTTTGGTCACGCTATTTATCAGAAGCAGAACCTGTTTATTAAGTACTTGAAAATAACAAACATTAGTATAACAAAATTGTTCATATAATCATACTCATTTTTTATCATAAAAACTTAGAGATAATATTTCATAACCATATATTGTTCTTACAATCTTTACGTTTGGTGTTGTTGGATCTTTCTCAAATCCAAAAGGCTCTTCGTCATAAGTAACGTTAACCCTTTGGTGTGTTGCTTCAATTTGTTGTACTTTGTCCGGAGGATCTGGCTCAAAGTCTATTCCAGATCCCTCTAAATGAACTTTAGCTTGAAGGGCTTCGACAACCATGTACTTAACTCCGGCCTCTAGGGCCGTTTTTAACCTATTTTCGATCACATAAGTCGAAAATTTTCTTAATGCCATGGATTCAGAAATAATGGTTGTCTTCTTCCCCCTAACCAGTTGATTGGGGGTCCTAGAAACCCCTCGACATCTTCTTCTTTGCTCATGATCTCTCGATCCCAACAGAAACCATGGGTGGGGTGCAAATACAAAGAATAAAACATCTGATCATAAGGCATATAAGAAAATCCTATTGGGGAATAAGGCACTATGTTCGCCAAGTTCCTGTCTAAATATCTCTTATCCACATGGTTTGTTTCTGCCATGTAATAACTCTGATCCGATTCTACATTCTCCATTATCCAATCTTCTTTCAATATAGAGATCATTTGGTGCAATGAAGATGGTACTGCACCAATACCATGTATCCACTCTCTCCCCAATAGTAAGTTGTAGTTCGCCTTCGAGGATATCACCATAAACACAATTGTCCTAGTGATAGACCCAACTGTTAAATCAACCTGGAGCACACCCAATGTATGGCCAATTTTCCTTCATATTTAGAGAGGACCATGTTATGGGGCCTCAAATTAATATCAAACTTTCCAATCTTCTTCAGCAAAGAATGTGGCATTAAGTTGACAGTTTCCCCACCATTAACCAGGGTCTTGTTTACCCCGGTTCCTTCAATTTTCCCTCTGATGAACAAAGGTTTAAGATGACTCCTCATCCCTTCGTTTGGTCTTTTGAAGAACACATTTTTCTCTTCGGTGAAACCGTTGTTCATTACATAGTAGCACACTAGCATGTGTTTAGCCATTTCCTCTTTGTCGATCTCAGTTTCTTCAACTTTGGTAACTTGGTCACATTCTAAAGGTAGAACTGACACCATGTTGCAATTTATGTTGAGTGAGGAGTATGAACCTGAATCAAAGTCATTCATTAGCATATCATCATCAACCATTGGTTGTTTCATTGGTTCCTTCTTAGGTTCTTACTTTTTCAACACAAACAATTTTCTGCCAACTGGCTCCTTCTCTTAAACTCTAGCCCTAATTTGGGACTGGTTACTTCTTGATTCTGCTTCCCCTTCTCAGCAGCTTCTTGTTCAACTTTCTTCCTTCTTTGCTGACACCTCAATTGTGATATGGACATATGATTATTTCCCTTGTAATTTTCAGACCCAAAGTTTGTTGTTTGGACACTTTAAATTCCCTTCGATAAGAAATTGAAGAACCTCTTCCAAACTCGAAACTGCATAATTTCCCTTGTCCTTGCTCCAATTTCTCCGCAGGCTTAGCCCACTTATCTGTTAGAGCATTTGTAGTAGGCTTAAAAGTAGCTAGCTTGTTCGCCCTGACATCTTGAGGCCTCTGTTGTTGCCTGTGGGGAACACCCACCCCGTCGAAGGTGAATTGCCCATTTGCATCTCTCTATTTTCTTCTTTGGCTGGCTATCCAAGTGCTTTCAATGTTTTATGCAGCCTTTTTATCCTAAAGAAAGTTTCACCTGGGGCACAACCTAACTTCATAATTTTTCTTTGGCAACGTTGTAGAAATTCCACCAAATTCTCATCGCTTATGGGGTAGACCACTCTTACTTGGTCTTTAGTATGTCGAGAGATCCTTTCCTCTTTAGCCTCTATGTCGACTTCTTCACTCATCTCGACCATGTTGACTTCGACTTTGAGATCATCTATAATCTCCATTTCCTAAATCTCCTTGCTAAGGTTATCAGTAACCTTAAACATTTCACTCTTTTGTTTGGAACCTTCGGGAGTTCCCATGTTACCTTTCTTGTCGAAGCCCTCAGTATCTTCCACCATGTTAATCTCAAAAGACTTTGTGTAATGAACATTCCCTATTTGTAAAAGGTATAAATCAACTTTCATTTGTGACATTCCTTTGTTCCCGAATTTAAGCCTTCCATCCTTGGTTGCATTTTGTACAAGATCCCTGAAAAGAAAATATTGTAAGGTTTTATGGTATTATAATTTGGCCATCTTTAACTAATAAGTAAAAAATTTCATCACATTTTTTTACGTCGAAGGTGTATATTCTTTTTTAGGGAACTATCATTTTTTCCGGGTTCGATGAGATTCTTTCTATTCGAATGTGCCAACACTTTGCATGTATAAGGCGTACCTTGTTTTAGTTTGGTAATATCAATTTCACCATCTTCAAAGGCACTTGCCTCTATAGTGGCATCTTGTTCATCTTCATCCATTTCCACACATGTTACTCTTTCTCTTCTACTATTCTTACTTGCCCTGGCCTTCTCTGCTTTTAGGCGCTATACTTGTCGAACTCTATCAGCCAATTGTGTCATATCTCTTAAATAATGGATATCCAGTTTCTTCCTAATGGAATAATCTAATCCACCAGCGACCATTTCGACTAACTCGTGCTCACGCACTTGTGTGAAACATAAGGCCTTTAACAAACAGAACCTATTCAAATAATCATGTATTGGCTCAATAAATTTACACTTAATAGTAGCCAATTCTTGTAGGCTGATTCTCGACTTCCTCATATAGAATTTTTCATGGAACAATCTCTCTAAACGAGTCCAATCCTGAATGGAATTAGCTGGGAGGGTAGTGAACCAAGTAAATGCATTTTTGGTAAGGGAACTGGGGAAATATCTGACCCTTAAGTTCTCGTTATTTACAATGTCCACAGCCTCAGTCAGATATCGGGCTATATGTTCAATAGTAGATTCATTTGTATCTCCAAAAAAATTTGTGAATTTTGGGACTTTCTATCCCCTTGATAATTCAGTTTGCAGAATATACTCAAACAATGGGGAAGTGTAGTTTGGCCTTTGAAAGGTCCATATTTACCTTATTTCTTGCCATTATCCTTTCAACCATGGTAGCAAGATTGTTTTCTACTGCTAGATCATCTTGTAGAACATGATGAACTACTTTATCTGCATCTTGATTCCTATTAACCATCACCACCCTAGGGGGTTCCCTCTCCCTAAACACTTGTTGTTCGCCCACACGGGGTTCGAATCGTTGTGCCTGGTTGACTTCGACCATATTGTGTGCAACCTCTTGGGGTTGGTTTACAATACCCTCCTATAGGATTACTCCTTGATTTTCTACATGCCACTCTCGTCGAGGTTGTGCGGCATGTCAAACTGGCGCTTGGGGAGGTTCTCGTCATCTCCTTGCCTGGCTCTCGTCGAGGTTCTCGTCATCTCCTTGCCAACTACTGATTTATTTGGGTGTTTTGTTGGTTAGTTCTGTCAATATTTTAGATCATGGGGTTGAATATCGCACACATATATTAGGTAAGCATATTAACTATTTCATGGTTATTTTCATCCATTTTTGTCTTAACACGGCTGCAGAACTTGTAGTGAAAGTGGATATTAGTTGGGAAGGAATTCATGTCCCTGGGGTTGCATATTTTGACCCGGGTTATTAGCAGCCGATCCCGACCCTTGCAATGGTGAATAAGTACTCACCAACGGATCAACAAACGTTAATGCGCTATTATGCAAACTTGCCATCATTGAAGTTGGCATGCCATATGGATGTTCACGATAATTCATAGGCATCGAAAATCCAGGCACATAAGGCCTAAAACTACTGGTCCCCACTGGTCTTGGGGTTACTGGTTGACCCTGAGTTCTTACATGGGATAATACTGGTCCACTTTGAGTGTTTGACGGTATGGCCATCATACTCATTATAGAGGGTATTGGTTTGGTCATAGATGTTGCAGCCATATTTTCCCCTGTCGAAGAGGGTGGTTCTCCATGGTTACTTGGTGGATTTACCATCCTTCTAACGTACTTTCTTTTTGATAATGGTTCTTTATTTATGGCTATCCTACCAGTCCTTAATCTCATGCAATGGAGTATGAGAAACCTATATATGAAGAACTAAATGCAAAAAAAAAATTCAAAAAGATTAAATAAAAAAATTCTAAACACAAGGTCCCACTGGACGTGCCAATTTGTTTACCGTGAATTTTTGTAAACAGCTGCTAGTCTTTCAAATCTAAGACTTTGGTTACTCACATGATCGACTAGATTGATCCTAGGACATATGTGCATATAATTTCTTAAGATTTCTAAGTGATAATTACTTCGACAGTAATAGGAATTTTAAAAGTAATGCAAAAATGATTGATAAAAAGTAAAGGAGTATAAATAGACTTCAATGGGAAATGTAAAGGAATGAAAATGATGTTAAAATAAGTAACTTGATATTGAATAAAAACGAATGATTCATACGTACATTTCTCAGCCACTTTATCTCAATAACGCTTAGATACTTTGAGTATTAGTGAATTTTGGCACAATGTGAATACTAAAATCTGATATTAAGACCTCTATTTATACTAATTTGACGCCAACAGTAACAAATAGTCTCTTCTTCTGAGGATGACATGTTTCCGTCTAGATGCATTTCGACCTTCTCAGGCTTCTACGCGTCCTTACGAATTGGATAAAACCAAAAGATGATTAATCAACCTTATTTTAAATTCAACTCTGTCGAAATCTTGGTTTGAATAATCCAGTCCAAACTTATACAATGTGAGCTCCAAAATATCCTAAGTCTCTGGTCATCACTACCCGGTAGTCATAGGGCTTTTTAGTCGAATTCTTCACTACTTCGTATTCCCATCAAAATTGCTTGTATTCCTCGAATATTTTCCTTTAGCTTTACTTGTTACTTCAAATCTTCTTCTCAGTCGAAATTCCAGGCAACAAATACACTTTTAATTTATAACAAATTTTATAGTTATGTTTGAATTGACGGTGGACATAATTGATTCTAGTAGAGTTGAGTTTAATAAATTTGACTTTAACAAATTGAATTTAACGGAATTGATTTATGTTATAGATTTGTAAAAATGAATTGAACAATAAATTTCAGTGTAAAAGTCATCAAAAATAAATTATAGAAACATAAACTACATATTCTAACTTTAAATAGAATTAATTCTAAAAACAAAATCAATTTTATTTTTGAAAAACCAAAAACATGAGAATCACTAAAAATCACTCGAAATCAATAACATTTGTTATAGTTCTATAATAGATAAGATTAGTGAAAGAGAGTTTGACGGAGGAGGAAAGTGATCCGAACGCAATGTCTTGCGGCGTGGGGGAACAGCTGGTAAGACAAACAAAAAACTCACGCGCTACGTCGTCGTTTAAGCATACAAAAAGAGCGTGAAAAAACGCGTGTAGAGACAAACACGAAATAAACATTCAAAGTAGAAAAAAGAAAAATAGTTACAGGACGCGCCATGAACGCAGACGCAGAAACCAGCGAGTGAACCAAGCGAGTTGAGTTTGAGTTCCTCTCCGCTCCCAATTCAATTTTCCCCCAAATTTTCAAAACCCTAGCTTTCTCACTCGCGTTTTTTCCCCACTCGCGGATCCACTTCACATTTTCATACTCGCTGCTCGTGATCCTTATTCCTTCCCCGCTTTTTAAGGTTTCTTCTTTCTCCCTCTTCCCTTGTACTAGTAATTTTCTTCACACTTTTACAAAGAAATTTTTTTTATGCTTATTTATAGTTTTTGAAAATGCTTAGAAAGTTAATGTATTTGATAAAACACGATGTGGGTCTTGTAATTCTATTCATTTCTAAGGGATTTATAGCATAAAGGTGTTAAATTTGCTGGAAAAAAACAAAATGAAAAATACTATACTTGTTGTCTAAGAAAACACTGGAATTGTTATATTCATGTACTAATGTAAACAATTTAAACAATTTGTCGATACTTATAATGTAGTAATGTAAACAAGTTGTTCATACTGATATAAACATCTGAAAGCGGATTTTTATTTTATTTTTTAATAATGTTGTTAATGGTGAAGTATTCACCATGTGGATCCATGAAGAAGATGAAGTATAACAGAAAATCAACAGCAATAACAGAAAACAGTTGTGATAAACTGAACTTCTTCATTAACCGAAAATAGATTACAAGGTTTGTATATATACACAAAAGGATAAGCTAATCTCTAATGTGTGATAGACAAGCTTAGTAGAAAGCTGATGTGGCACCAATACTAGTTCTATACTATTCTATAATATACAGTATATAAAAGGCAATGTGCAAGATACAAACTATACTAACAAATGTACTAATGTAAATAAGTTGTTGATATTTTATAAATTAATAAATTAGATAAAATAAATGTCTAGAGTTTGGTTGTTTTGCTTATTAGAAACTTTGTTTTGCTGTATTTATGTATTTCCAGCGAGTGGTCGCCGCCGGATTACAGTTTAGATTGTGGAAGGTACTTAGAATGGAATGATGGTAGTGCAGTGAGTGGAGGTATGGGTGATGCAGTCAATGGAGAAGATTGTAGAGGTAGTGCACTTGTTGCTTCTCCTAAGAGGGATGTAGCTTTCTTTGAAGGGGACAAAGATTTTGAGCCGCCCAATGGGATTGAATTTGAATCTCATGAGGCGGCGTATGCGTTTTATCAAGAATATGCGAAATCTATGGGGTTTACCACTTCGATTAAGAATAGTAGGCGCTCGAAGAAGACGAAAGAGTTTATTGATGCTAAATTCGCGTGCTCTAGATATGGAGTAACGCCTGAGTCTGATGGTGGTAGTAGTCGAAGGCCGAGTGTGAAGAAGACAGATTGCAAAGCTTGCATGCATGTGAAGAAAAAGCAAGATGGGAAGTGGATCATTCATGAATTTATAAAGGATCACAATCATGAACTTTTACCGGCTTTGGCGTATCATTTTCGGATTCATAGGAATGTGAAGCTAGCTGACAAGAATAATATGGATATCTTGCATGCCGTTAGTGAACGCACGAGAAAGATGTTTGTTGAAATGTCGAGACAATCTAGTGGCTGTCAAAACATTGGGTCTCTCGCGAGTGATATGAATTATCAGTTTGACAGAGGTCAGTATCTGGCTTTGGACGAGGGAGATGCCCAAGTTATGCTGGAGTATTTCAAGCATGTTCAAAAGAAGAGCCCCGACTTCTTCTATGCTATAGATTTAAATGAAGAACAACGTTTAAGAAATCTATTTTGGGTTGATTCAAAAAGTATTAATGATTATCTCAGCTTTAATGATGCGGTTTCATTTGATACTACCTACATAAAGAGCAATGATAAATTGCCTTTTGCTCCTTTTGTTGGAGTGAATCATCACTCTCAACCTATGTTGCTCGGATGTGCATTGGTTGCAGACGAGACTAAGCCAACTTTTGTTTGGTTACTGAAGGCATGGCTTAGAGCGATGGGAGGACAAGCTCCCAAAGTTATAGTCACTGATCAAGACAAAGCCTTGAAGGAAGCAATTGAAGAAGTCTTCCCAAATGCACGGCACTGCTTTTCTCTTTGGCACATATTGGAAAAGATACCTGAAAATCTTTCTTTTGTGATAAAACAGTATAAAAACTTCTTGCCAAAGTTTAACAACTGCATTTTTAAGTCTTGGACAGATGAAGAGTTTGACATGAGATGGTGGGAAATGGTGACTATATTTGAACTCCATGATGATCTATGGTTTCATTCATTATATGAAGACCGGAAAAAGTGGGTACCAACGTTCATGGGGGATGTCTTTTTAGCTGGATTGTCCACACCTCAACGTTCCGAGAGTATGAATTCTTTCTTTGACAAATACATTCATAAAAAAATCACCCTTAAAGAGTTTGTGAAACTATATGGGTTGATTCTTCAAAATAGGTATGATGAGGAATCCGTTGCGGATTTCGATACATTGCACAAACAGCCTGCAATTAAATCTCCTTCACCCTGGGAAAAACAAATGTCAACAATTTACACACATGCAATATTTAAGAAATTCCAAGTCGAAGTGTTGGGTGTAGCTGGTTGTTCATCTAGGATAGAGGCTGGAGATGAAACTGTTGCGAAATTTATAGTTCAAGATTATGAGAAGGATGAAGAGTTTTTGGTAACTTGGAATGAGTTGAGCTTAGAGGTCTCTTGCTTCTGTCGATTGTTTGAATATAAAGGTTTCCTTTGCAGACACGCATTGAGTGTTCTCCAACGTTGCGGTTGTTCGAGTGTTCCAGCTCAATATATCATAAAGAGGTGGACCAAAGATGCCAAAATTAGGGAACCAATAGCACATAGTACAAGACGGATACAAACTAGGGTTCAACGTTATAATGATTTGTGCAAACGAGCTATTGAGTTGAGTGAAGAAGGATCGTTATCTGAAGAGAGTTATAATGTTGCTCTCCGTACACTTGTCGATAGCCTAAAGAACTGTGTACTTGTAAATAACGCTAACGACAATGGTGCAGAAACCGGGAACAGTGGTTGTAGTCTTCGTGAAGCAGAAGAAAATCAGGGTACCCTTGCTTTGAAATCAAGTAAGAAGAGGAACACAACTCGGAAAAGAAAGGTTAGTTCTAAGTAATGTGGTTGTCCTGCTTATGCGTTAAGTTGTTTTGCCTTTATAGCATTTAAAAGATCGGAAATTGATTTGAGAATTACTTTGTAGGTGCAACAAGAGCAGAATCCTGTACTTGTCGACACTCAAGATAGCCTGCACCAAATGGTTTATGTTTTCCCTGTTTCATTCTTGATATTTTTTAGATTATACCAATAAGCATCTATAGCATGTGCTTCCTGTAACATGTGATTTTTTCTTCAGGATAATCTTACCTCGGATGCAATGACCCTTAATGGATATTATGGTACTCAGCAGAATGTGCAAGGACTGGTAAATTTATTTGTTAACCAAGCTATGATTGTATATGTTCTGTATTTTATTCTACGAACTCTAATGCATAATTAATAATTTTGCTTTTTGTAGCAGGTACAACTGAACTTAATGGAGCCGCCTCATGATGGTTACTATGTTAATCAACACAGCATGCAAGGCCTGGTAAATTGTCCTAATCCTGATTATGACCTTCCGATACGACTGTTATTAATAGGATTATTAATCGATATTCAAATGCTTGTAGGGTCCATTGAATTCTATGGCTCCAAGCCATGATGGGTTTTTCGGAACACAGCAAAGCATTCATGGGATGGTAGAGTATTTTCTTTTCATTCCTATGAAATGATGATAAGTTATGTGACTTCATTAACATTAATACGATGAAAGTTTGCTAACTGTGGGTTGGTTCATGTAGGGAGGAGGGCAATTGGAATATCGACCGACAACCACTTTTGGATATAGCCTTCAGGTTTGTTCATGACATGAACCATATATCACACGCATTTTAACTTTTCACTGTCTTTGACACATAATCTGAATTGTAGGATGAGCCTGATCCACACTTTCACAGCAATAATACAAGAAATACATAGAATTTGTCTCTTCTCTGATTTGGTAGTTTCCTCAGAAGCTACGTGCGCCGTGATTTAAAAGAGCATTGAAAGAACTTGGAAATTCGTTATCGTGACAACAGTTCATTTTCTTACTCCACAATTTGCAAGATGTTGTAACTTTATGCACCATTGAAATGCACCTCGTGTCTTGGTAACCGTTAAACCTTGTTGTTGTTACTATACATAGAAATTGCTCATTTTTATCTAGGTTAGTAATAAGAGCTACAAAATTCGGAATGAACTAGGAGGGTGAGATTGGTATGAAAGCCTGTGGTAATATGCTGAGAAAGAAGATATTCAGTTTCTCAAATGTGAGATGGAGGAGTTTTTGAGTTCCTATCATTGGAACAAATACAAACGCACCAGATTTCATGGTGTTTATACAAGGACTCCATTGGACTGATTTGTATAATCTGGAACGGTAGTTAGTGATGATGGTTCATTGATGAACACATTGGTATAATAAATGGAGTGAACTTTTATATTGAACCTGACCCCATTTTGAGTCAGAAATCATCACTGACCCTTTTTCGAAGATTGTTTTAGCTAGTTGTTGTATTCACGGTGTGTAAGGTAGCATATGGAATGGAATTATTAGCCTTACATGTTTCCCTATATGTTTTGTTAGTAGGCATGAAAACAAAATTCGAAATTGTCTGAATCCATTTGAAAAGCTTTGCTTTGAGGGGGAAAAAAATTCTATTTTGACCGGCTGCAAATGCTGGTTTTTCTCGATATTTAAAGTTGAAAACGGAGGCAGGATGTTTATATCTACCCCGCACATGTTTCCAAATCCGTCTCTTTAGTAAATAATACTCCTTCCATCTCATATTATTTGTCACAATAGACTATTTCACACAAAATAAGAAACAGTAGTAAATGAAAGAGAGAATAATGATTTTACCAAATTATCTTGATTAACTATTGGTGTATTCAAATTAGGATTAATATTAAGTGAGAAAATAATAAATTAAGACTATTTATTACATGGTACAATTGGAAGATTAAATATAAAATTGTAGTGGCAATATAAAGTGACAAGTATTTTGGGATAATTTTTTTTATTAAATGTGACCGTTAGGGAGTATAATAAATTTTAAAAAAATTTATGTACAAACTTCTTGACTTATTTATTATTTTATAATATATTTAAATTTTAAAAATATGTTTGCTATAATTTTTTTTTTGGAACAAAAAGAAATTTTATTGTCAAAAACGATGGAGTACATAAAACCGATCAAATATGATCCAGGCTACAAAGAGACAGAATAAAACTAAAAGACAAAGGGGGACATACAATTAGCCTCTATTACAAAATTTATTTAGCTTTCTACTGCTACTAGCTCTCATAAGAATAATATCAATCACTTCCATGTTGTGGAGGGAATCAATAGTCTTGTTTTAAAAGATGGTCTTGTTTCGGGTTGTCCAAATAGTATACGTAATCTCAGCTACAGCTATTTTAATGAGACTACTTTTAACATTTTTCCTCTAGTCATCTGAATAATCCAATTCAACTCCAAATTCCAACTCATAGGATTGTGCGAGATGTTCATTCAGTTAAGAATATTTGACCGCACTTTCTTAGTATACTCACATTCAAAGAAAAGGTGTTTACCACTTTTTGGCAGCCTACATAACACACCTACCATCAGTGACAACCCCAAATCGTTGTAACCGATCTTTGGAGGGCAATCTACACAGGCTAGACATCCAGAGGATGAACTTTGCTCTAGGCCAAGCTAAATTTCCATAAAAGAGCTTCCTCAAGAGAACTTTAGGCTTTATCCCTCTTATCATAAGATAGATCTTCCTCTTTATATACTTGCCTGTTTTTTGGAAGTCTTTCCACTCTTCAAAATGTATAAGGGTGTCACGATGCTTGAACATTTCTTTGAGAATCCAAGAACAGTGGATACTGGGGGAGAAGCTAGTAGGATATACACCTTTTAAGTAGTATGTATGGATCCAAGTAA